CAGTAGCCAATCAGGCCCTCTAGGCGACCTGCCAGTCAGAAGTTGTGCAGGGTCCTTCCGGCTGCTAGCTTTAACCTTGGCTTTGAAGAGAAACTGGTTCCAGAAGTTTGGTGTGGAGGACTGTGAGAGTTGCTGCAGGGAGCTGAGCAGAGAACATGGCCGAGCTGGGAAACCACAACATGGTGAGTGGGGTGCAGGAGCCAGTGTGGTGGGTCCTTCTCAGACCCGGGTGGGATCCTTCAGCCAGAATCCCTATCCTGTGCTGTCCCGTGTGGTCCCTGAATCTTCCTCTATACAGGGCAGGCCTCTGGATATCTTTTCTGTGTGGGCCGCATCTGTTCACAGAATTGGGAGCAGGGAGCTGTGTGTAGAAACATCTTTGTAGTCAGCTTAAACATGCTTTGACTCCACCCATGGAAAGCAGGTGGCCAAACTTGGAGAGGCCTAGTTTCTCCAGTACCTTCTAGAGCTTCAGCACTGTTTATTTAACTTTCATGTGTGCGGTTCATTTATAGTTAATTTTGTGGAGGTTGTATAAGCATCTCATGTGTTGGGTAGCACTCCACTCCTAAGGTGTGAGAGAGAAGAGAGAAGAGTTGAACTCGTGAAATAAAGGATTTACTAATTCTTAGGAGATAGTAAGTCTCACAAAATAGAATTTAGCTGAGGAAGGACTACAAAAAACAAACAAACAAACAAGCAAACAAACAAACAGCCAGGTGGTGGCACATGTCTTTAATCCCAGCACTCAGGAGGCAGAGCCAGGCAGATCTCCGTGTGTTTGAGGCCAGACTTGTCGAGAGAGCAAGATTCAGGACAAGCACCAAAACTACACAGACCTGTCTCAAAAACAAACAAACAAAAAATACATTAATTAAATAAAAAACTCAAAGATAAGATTATAGTAGTCAGCCTTGTTAGAGATTAGGACAGTAGTTTGCACGTTTCTTTACCGGGATTGTCCAGACATTTGGACTGTGTGTCTTGGAAGGGGAACAGGAATTGGTTTGGGAGACAGGAAGTTTTCCTCCTACAATATAAATTTCACAAATTAGAGCCCTGTCTCCCCTTAGTGTGGAAGGGCAGAGCTGAGAAGTCCATTGCTCTTTATGTCATTTGATCTCTGATCACCCAGTAGAGGAGATGCTGCTTTCCTGAGTCCTGCTCAGTAACTTTAGCTAAGTGAGACCCTGGGAAGGCTTAGTGATTAGGTGTACCCATGGGACATAGCTGGCAGGTTCTTTCCAGGATGTTCCTCTGGGTCTGTTGTAGGGAGCTGTGAGGGAGACCACAAGCCATGCTATGGTGAGTGTGGGGACCACTGACCCCAGACCTAGAGGAACAGTTCTGCTAAGCTGTCACAGCTTCAGTGACTGGGAGGGACCATGAGCCAGACTGCATTTAGTGGTCCATGTGGTGTCGTTGGCAGTCGTCCTTCTCTGAGACACCCTGAGTGTGGATTCTGTGGGGAGGGGGAGGCTCTGCCCCCTGGCTATAGGAGGCTGTGATTTCTGTAATATATTTGCATGTTGTTAGGCAGCTGGAAAGAGTTGATTCCAGATCATGTGCCATAACCCATGTGGCAGAAAATAGTCATTAAATTCTACCCTGTTTTGTGACTGTCCACCAGTTTGGCTGGGTTTACCTGGAACCACAAGTGTACATGAGACTTTGCAGTCCTTTTGCCAAGAGAATCTATAGCTTGAATTCTCTCTGTGTAGAAGAAATATCAGTAGCTGGAAGGTCGAAAGCTTTAAGGCTAAGTTTGAGATGATTTTGTGGCATCTGTCAAGTCTGTTTTAATTTCTTTCTTTTCTTTTCTTTCTTTTTTTGATTTTGAGACAGGGTTTCTCTGTGTAGCTTTGCACCTTTCCTGGAACTCACTCTGTAGCCCAGGCTGGCCTTGAACTCACAGAGTAGGTTCTCCCCTGGCTGGGTGGCAGCCAGTGGTTAGATGTAGAGTTCACTATATTCTTGCATGGTCCTTCATGGTCCAGCGTGGTTCTGCTTATCCTGCATGCTCCTGTGTGTTTCTGTGTGGTCCTGGGTGGTGTTTGCAATTGCTGGGCTGGCTGGCAGCCTCTGTGTAACTTCACTCTGCTGGCTGCACATATGCAGAGTGGTGCGAGTGGGACTGTGATTTGAAATAACCTTGTTGTTGACATCACCCTGAAAGGCTGGTGCCCTTAGGGCTGATGCTGTCCCTGTGGAACCCAGGTTTGCTATCCTCCTGACTTACCACCTTAAATTCTTGGATTACATGTCTGTAGCACCACAGAGTTCTAAAATCATCCATTTGAGTCACATAGTGGACTGTCCATTGCAGAACATGGGAAGCATTTGCATGTAGATCATGGCTTTTCCCTTCAGGCCAGAAGAGGAGGAACAATGTACTGTTTACACTGCAGGAGGAAACACACTAGACAATAACTAGATCACAGACTAAAGTTAAAGGCAGTGAGCTTCAGGGGTCTCCATTACATAGAAGGACTGATGGGCCATGGTGACTTCCTCTGCAATGTTCTTTCATGTATTAATCCCTTCCATGTGAATGAAGACAGTCAGAGTTGGCGGGTGTACACTTTAGGGAGAATACCTTGAATTACTAAGTATTCAGTTTCCAGTTAGTGAACTATCCTATGCAGAACTGTGCAATCCTGGTTGACACAGTTAAGTCAGCTCAGAAATTTGAGACCTAAGCCAATGGCTGTAACTCTGTGTCATCCTGCAACACTCAGTGACTAACATTTTACATGGGACAAAGTCATGCACTCTTATTAATGCTATTGACTTTACTATGGAGGTGCCTAGTCCATCTCAAGGTCTGTATAGCTAAGTTTTCTTTAAATTATTGTTTATCATTTTTAACACATCTATGATTGACATCATTTTAAAAATTTATTTTTTTAAATGCATTGGTGTTTTTTCCTTTTTTTCCCATGTTTCTCAGTTTAAGAATTTTATTCTATTATTTTCTTAAGTGTTGTTTGTTTATCTATTTATTTATATCGGTTTAGAGCAGTGGTTTTCCATTTTGATCGTGGCTCTCTTTGGGGGAACAAATGATCATATCACAGGTCATTCCTAGATGTTTGGAAAACACAAATATTTATATAATAATCATCACAGTAGGAAAAATATAGTTATGAAGAGGCAATAAAATAGCTTTATGATTAGGGGACACTGCATCATGGAAAGACAAACCTAGGAAGGTTTTTGCACTCTAAGTCACATGATTTCTCCTCGCTCAGTTTGGTAACTTCCAATGTCATGCAGCCCAGATCAGTGGTCCTAGGTAATGAGATTTTCTGTGAAGGATTAGCTTATACCTTCTTTCCATGATTCTCGTCTTCTGCTGAAGGAGGCTGTTTTTAAGTCCGCAAGCCATGCTGTGGTGAGTTTGGGGGCCACTGTCCCCAGACCAGGATGAGCAGGTTGGCTGAGCTCTCAGAGCTGCTTGAACTGGGATAGATCATGAGCCAGACTGAGGTTCTCTTGATCCTCACGGTGACCTGGGTAGTGGCCCTTGGCCTCTGAGCTTTGTTGAGTGTAGATTCCTTTGGGATGGGGAGGCTCTGCCATCCTGGCATGGGAGTCTGTGTGCTTGTAATATCACTGCCTCATGCTATGCAATTGAGAATTGCTTTGAATACCTGATCCTGCCTCTGGTGCCCAATGCTAGGAAGACAGTCCAACAAATCATACCAGTCTGGGCCTTGATGGGTCAGTGAGAAGGAAAACTAAATCATGTATTGAGTGACCTCCAATCTCTCTGGCTTTTAGTGGAGACTTATAGATGAAGAAGGACATGTGTAGGAATTGAGTTCATTGACCAACTTTGAAGCTGGTGGAGTCACAGTACAGAAAGGGAGGAGCAGGATGGGGGTTGAGAAGTTTTCTACTTCAACAGTAGTTGAGATTAGCAATGTGGAATTAGGTAATCAATTTTAGATGTTCCATTAATGTCCTCATTGGCCATTTCTTGGGATCCACACACAAGGACAATCAAGAATCTAGATAAAGGACTGGTCTTATCGTGAAAGCAAATTGCTATAGTTACAGTCACTCAAACAAAATAGATCTGGGTAAAATGTTGTTGCTGTCCCTAACAGGATTGTTTTTTTTTTCAGGCTTTAGATGTACACCCAAAGAAAAAAGCATTGAGAAATATTTGATGTGCTCAAATACAAATTCCTAGACTCTGCAGAACATGGCCATTAAGCCTTTTTCAACTTTTCAAAATATTTTTTTGAAATTATAACTACATCATATCTACACTCTTTCCTGTCTCCAGTTGCAATCATGACCCATCATTGTTTTCTAATTCAGGGCCTGTTTTTCTTTAACAACAGTTATACAGTAACAACAGTTACTTCTCACCTATTAGCTAATGGGTTGGCTGCATTGCACATTGAGTGTAAATTGGAATGTACACAGAAAGGACCCTGTGATGTGCTCTAGGAGAGTAGAAGAATATCTACCAAAAAAAATAGAAACTTTCTAGACTATGGCCAGTTTTGATGGGCTGGAATGGCAGAGCTTGAAGGACTGTGCTGTATGAGTCATTTGATCTCTCATTACCCATTATGGGAGCTGTTAGAATACTGAGGACCAGCTTGGTCGCCATAGTTAATGAGGGACTCTGGGAAAGCTTAGCATCAGGATTACTAGTGGCAGGTAACTTGTGGTTTCCTTCCAGTATTCTCCTATGCTTCTGCTGTAGGGAGTTGTAGGAAGAGCACAAGGTATGCCATGGTGAAAGTAGGATGATCAGAGAACGTCTGCCGAAAGGTCCATTCTGCTGGGATTTGGATGAACCATGAGCCAGACTGTGGTTCTGTTAGTCCATCTGGGAGCTGGGAAATGGCCCTTCTCCTCTGAGCCTCTGTAGAGAAGGAGAGACTCTGCAGCCCTAGCATGGGAGGATGCTTATAATATCATTGTCCAATGTGCACACACAGGCGAACTTTTGATGTGCAGTGGGGTGACAGATTGGCAAACAGAAGGACTCATTTCCTAAAATTCTGAACATAGCATTCCACTTTTAGGTTTGTCTCTAAAGGTTGCAAATAGTTTAGAACTTGGTAGAAATATGGTGATGTGGATTGTCTGAGCAGACGCCAGTATGCAGAGCAGGAGCTGGAGCAGGCCCGCATGGCTCTAAAAAAGGCTGAAAAGGAGTTTGAAATAAGAAGCAGCTGGTCTGTTCCTTATGCGAGTCAGAAATGGCGTCAGCTAACACATGAAGTCGAAGTACAGTACTACAATATTAAGAGACAGAATGCTGAGATGCAGCTAGCCATCACTAAGGACAAGGCAGAAAAAATTAAAAAGAAGAGAAGCACAGTCTTTGGGATCCTGCATGTTGCGCATAGCTCCTCCCTGGATGAAGTAGATCACAAGATTCTGGAAGCCAAGAAAGCGCTCTCTGAGTTGACAATGTGTTTGCGAGAGCGGCTTTTTCGCTGGCAGCAGATTGAGAAGATCTGTGGCTTTCAGATAGCTCACAACTCTCGGCTCCCCAGCCTTACCTCCTCTCTGTACTCTGACCACAGCTGGGTGGTGATGCCTAGAGTCTCCATCCCACCCTACCCTATTGCTGGAGGAGTCGATGACTTTGATGAAGACACCCCCCCCCCCATAGTGTCACAGTTTCCAGGGACCGTGCCTAAACCTGCTGGGTCTTTAGCCAGGAGCAGTAGTTTATGCCGCTCTTGTCGAAGTATTGTGCCGTCCTCCCCACAGTCCCTGCGAGCTCAGCTTCCTCCACATGCTCCTCTGGTAGCCCACCTTCGGCATCCTCACCATCCCCAGCATCCCCAGCACTCACTACCTTCCCCAGATCCAGACATTCTGTCTGTGTCAAGTTGCCCTGCTCTGTATCAGAATGAAGAGGACAAGGAGACCATCTACTTCACTGCTGAAAAACAATGGGAAGTACAAGATACAGCTTCAGAGTGTGACTCCTTGAACTCTTCCATTGGAAGGAAACAGTCTGCTCCTTCAAGCCTTGAGATATACCAAACATTGTCTTCTCGAAAGGTATCAAGAGATGAGCTTTCCCTGGAGGATTCTTCCAAGGGGGATTTGCCAGTGACAGCAGATGTCTGCCGGGGTTCCCCTGAGTGTTTGGGACTGACAGAAACCAAGAACATGATCTTCAGTCCTGCCAGCAAAGTATACAGTGGCAACTTGGAGAAATCCTGTAGCATGAACCAACTTTCTAGTGGCATCCCGATGCCTAAACCTCAACACACATCATGTTACTCAACTGGCAATGACAGCAGGCCAGTTCAGGAAGCCTCGAATGTTTCCAGAATAAGCAGCATCCCACATAACCTTTGTCATAATGGCGAGAAAAGCAAAAAGCCATCAAAAAACAAAAGTCTTTTCAAGAAGAAGTCTAAGTGACTCAGCGACTTGATGGAATTCCATTGAAGTGGCATCTGTGAACTTTTTCTCCCACCCTCCATTCCCGATTTTATTTTTATTTTAGGAATGTTACTCCACTGGGGCTTTCCAGAGTTGATGCCATAGTGGAAATGTCCTTAAGTGCAACTGTCTACTGTCTGATGATTTAACAGACTATGCCATCAATTCATCAAGGCCGCCATTACCGAAGAGTCATCGAGAGGAGATAGTCAGTTTACAGTTA